TCTGGGGGATCCTGGGGGGGGACGCTCTGGGGATCCAGGCTGGACGGCTTTTTCGGATCCTGGCTGGCGGTTGGCGGTCCGGCTGGAGGCTCTGGGGGGGTACTGGTGGTCGTTCGGTGTCGGGGTGGGGTTGGGTCATGGTGGTGAGGATTGGTGTAATGGCGGCGAGGATCTGGTGCTATGGTGGTGACGGAACTGGCTGCTAGGCTGGCTGGGATTGGTGCCAGGGGGGCTGACGGATTGGCTGCTCATGGCGGGTGACGGATCGGCTGCTCATGGCTGGCTGACGGGTCTGGCTGCTCATGGCTGGCTGACGGATCTGGCTGCTCATGGCTGGCTGACGGATCTGGCTGCTCATGGCTGGCGTGACGGATCTGGCTTGTCAGGCTGGCTGACGGATCTGTCGCTAATGGCTGGCTGACGGATCTGGCGCTCATGTGCTGGGCGGACGGCGGATCTGGCTGCTCATGGCTGGCTGACGGATCTGGCTGCTCATGGGCTGGCTGACGGATCTGGCTTGCTCATGGGCTGGCCTGACGGGATCTGGCTGCTCATGGCTGGTTGACAGGATCTGGCTGCTCATGGCTGGTTGACAGATCTGGCTGCTCATGGCTGGGGTGCTGGCTGGGAGGCTGGCGGTGGAGGCGGACCCCAGCCTCGGATTGCAGTCATCACCTCCAGCAGGGCGGCTCCCATCTGCAGGAGCTGCTCTTTCTGGTCCCGAACCTGAGCTTCCAGTCTAGTATGGGCTGCGTCGGCTCCTGCTGATTCCATAGCAGGTGTATGATTCTGTCTGGCGGCAGGCTCTAGCGGCTCCTGTCTGGCGGAAGGCTCTAGCGGCTCCGATCTGGCGGACGGCTCTGAAGGCTCATGGCAGACGGACGGCTTTGCAGGCTCAGTACAGACGGGCGGCTTATGCAGCGCTTGGCAGACGGGCAGTTCAGACGCCCTAGGGCAGACGGCAGACTCTGGCCGGCTGGCGACGCACATCGTGGACCTGGTGCGTGGAGTAGGAACAGGCCGGTCCATACCGGGAACACACACCAATGGCCTTAACTGCGGATCAGGAACGGGCCGGACCGGACTGGTAACACACTTCAGTCTCTCATGCCGTGCCACAACAACTTCCCTCCTTCCACTCGCCAATGGCTCCCGTACTCCGTTAGCCTTCTCTCCTTTTCTCCCTGTGGCAGCCTCCTGCTGCCCAGCTGCCCAAGCCATGTGCCCCCCCCCAAAAAATTTCTTGGGGTTGCCTCTCTTCCACGGGCTTCCAGCCTTGCCTTCGCGCTGCCTCCTCGTACCACCTCCTCTCGGCTTTGGCTGCCTCCAGCTCTTCACGAGGGAGGCGATATTCTCCCGGTTGTGCCCAAGGATCCTTTCCGTCCAATAACTCTTCCCATGTCCAGACCCTCGGCTCCTGGACACGCTTGTTACGCTGCTTGGTCCTTTTGTGGTGGGTTATTCTGTCACGATCGTCTGAAGGAGCGGACCAATGCGCAGCGTTGCGAGTGAACATGATGACTTTATTATTATATAAAGCAACCACGAAGAAAACAACAAAAGACGATACGTGAAGTTCAAATACTGATACAGACTAACAGCAACACAGAAACAATAACCCACAAAACAAAGGAGAAAACACACAGAATATATATGGCTCCCAATCAGAGATAACGAGCCGACAGCTGACACTCGTTACCTCCGATTGGGAGTCATAGACCAATCACCATAGACACAAACAAAATGAAACTCACCCATCCCCAACACCACCAAATGAAATACACCCAAACACATGAAAATGAACAACCCTGGCTCAATTATAAAGTCCATAGAGCCAGAGTGTCACAGTAAATGTAATCCTCTCTGCTTCCTGTTTGTTTTCGCCTTCCTTTTTCTAGACCATTTTCTTTGCCTCATTTCTTTACCTCCTCTCTGTCTCTGTCTCTCTCTCTCTCTCTCTCTCTCTCCCTCCTTCCTGCATTTTTCTACTGTTATAGCCTCATTTTGCCAACTCTCTCTTTCATCATCTCTCTCCAAATCCCTCTTTCTCTTTCTTTCTTTCTCTCTCTCTCCCTCTTTCTTTCTCTCTCTCTCTCTCCCTCATCCCGCTCTCCCACCCTCCGCCCTGTGCGTTCCCTGGGGAGGTCAGTAATAATGGTAGTGATGGAGTGAGAGAGGGAGGTGCGATTATTGTCTTGTCGGGAGTCAGACGAATCGATCGGCCCAGAAATATGAGGCGCGAGAAAGAGCCGCTGTGTCAGATACAATAACCACCAGCTCCCGGGGGCTTAGACACACACACACACACGTTCACTGACGCAAACACACACATTTCATACACTGACCAAACACACACATTCATTTATACAGACAAAAACACATGCATACACATAAACACATACACACCGACATCCTCTCTCTTTCATTAACACACAAATGTATATATACTCGTTTCTCTCTGAGAACTGACAGGCAGGCAGACAGGATGATCATTCATATGGCTTGATATCAGATATACAGTGACACTTCTTTATTCATAAGTTTTCCTCCACACATGTAGACAAGGACATGATGATAAAATCTCTCACACACTGCTCACACACGCATGTATAAACAGAAGTAAACACACGGGCGTGCACACATACACACCGAGACCTTTCGCTGCTGTTGCCTGGCAACGTGTGTCCAATCAAGGTGCAGAGCAGTGTCCAGTGATGTCAGACCTGCTGCTGACCAGCAGAGAGAGAGAGGGAGAGAGAGGTTGTTAGTGTATGTAGTGTAGATGTGGATGCATACAGTGAGGGAAAAAAGTATTTGATCCCCTGCTGATTTTGTACGTTTGCCCACTGACAAGAAATGATCAGTCTATAATTTTTATGGTAGGTTTATTTGAACAGTGAGAGACAGAATAACAACAAAAAAATCCAGAAAAACGCATGTCAAAAATGTTATAAATTGATTTGCATTTTAATGAGGGAAATAAGTATTTGACCCCTCTGCAAAACATGACTTAGTACTTGGTGGCAAAACCCTTGTTGGCAATCACAGAGGTCAGACGTTTCTTGTAGTTGGCCACCAGGTTTGCACACATCTCAGGAGGGATTTTGTCCCACTCCTCTTTGCAGATCTTCTCCAAGTCATTAAGGTTTCGAGGCTGACGTTTGGCAACTCGAACCTTCAGCTCCCTCCACAGATTTTCTATGGGATTAAGGTCTGGAGACTGGCTAGGCCACTTCAGGACCTTAATGTGCTTCTTCTTGAGCCACTCCTTTGTTGCCTTGGCCGTGTGTTTTGGGTCATTGTCATGCTGGAATACCCATCCACGACCCATTTTCAATGCCCTGGCTGAGGGAAGGAGGTTCTCACCCAAGATTTGACGGTACTTGGCCCTGTCCATCGTCCCTTTGATGCGGTGAAGTTGTCCTGTCCCCTTAGCAGAAAAACACCCCCAAAGCATAATGTTTCCACCTCCATGTTTGACGGTGGGGATGGTGTTCTTGGGGTCATAGGCAGCATTCCTCCTCCTCCAAACACGGCGAGTTGAGTTGATGCCAAATAGCTCCATTTTGGTCTCATCTGACCACAACACTTTCAACCAGTTCTCCTCTAAATCATTCAGATGTTCATTGGCAAACTTCAGACCATAGTCACCAAGAAAACAATTGGTAACACACTACGCCGTGAAGGACTGAAATCCTGCAGCGCCCGCAAGGTCCCCCTGCTCAAGAAAGCACATATGGTGCTTTCTTGAGCAGGGGGACCTTGCGGGCGCTGCAGGATTTCAGTCCTTCACGGCGTAGTGTGTTACCAATTGTTTTCTTGGTGACTATGGTCCCAGCTGCCTTGAGATCATTGACAACATCCTCCCGTGTAGTTCTGGGCTGATTCCTCACCGTTCTCATGATCATTGCAACTCCACGAGGTGAGATCTTGCATGGAGCCCCAGGCCAAGTGAGATTGACAGTTATTTTGTGCTTCTTCCATTTGCGAATAATCGCACCAACTGTTGTCACCTTCTCACCAAGCTGCTTGGCGATGGTCTTGTAGCCCATTCCAGCCTTGTGTAGGTCTACAATCTTGTCCCTGACATCCTTGGAGAGCTCTTTGGTCTTGGCTATGGTGGAGAGTTTGGAATCTGATTGATTGATTGCTTCTGTGGACAGGTGTCTTTTATACAGGTAACAAGCTGAGATTAGGAGCACTCCCTTCAAGAGTGTGCTCCTAATCTCAGCTTGTTACCTGTATAAAAGACACCTGGGAGACAGAAATCTTTCTGATTGAGAGGGGGTCAAATACTTATTTCCCTCATTAAAATGCAAATCAATTTATAACATTTTTGACATGCGTTTTTCTGGATTTTGTTGATGTTATTCTGTCTCTCACTGTTCAAATAAACCTACCATTAAAATTATAGACTGATCATTTCTTTGTCAGTGGGCAAACGTACAAAATCAGCAGGGGATCAAATACTTTTTTCCCTCACTGTATGTGTGAAATAGAAAGTTTGAATTTAAAGGAGATTGAAGCTGGTTGGAAAAAAAAGTGGTGTGATGAGAGGAAGAGAGAGAGGAAGAGAGAGAGGGAGATAGAGGTGGGCCTGGTGAAAGAGGAGGAGGATGGAGAGGAAGAGAGAGGTAGAGGTGGGCCTGGTGAAGGTGAAAGAGGAGGAGGATGGAGAGGAAGAGAGAGGTAGAGGTGGGCCTGGTGAAGGTGAAAGAGGAGGAGGATGGAGAGGAAGAGAGAGGTAGAGGTGGGCCTGGTGAAGGTGAAAGAGGGGGAGGATGGAGAGGAAGAGAGGTAGAGGTGGTCCTGGTGAAGGTGAAAGAGGAGGAGGATGGAGAGGAAGAGAGAGGTAGAGGTGGGCCTGGTGAAGGTGAAAGAGGAGGAGGATGGAGAGGAAGAGAGAGGTAGAAGTGGGCCTGGTGAAGGTGAAAGAGGAGGAGGATGGAGAGGAAGAGAGAGGTAGAGGTGGGGCCTGGTGAAGGTGAAAGAGGAGGAGGATGGAGAGGAAGAGAGAGGTAGAGGTGGGCCTGGTGAAGGTGAAAGAGGAGGAGGATGGAGAGGAAGAGAGAGGTAGAGGTGGGCCTGGTGAAGGTGAAAGAGGAGGAGGATGTAGAGGAAGAGAGAGGTAGAGGTGGGCCTGGTGAAGGTGAAAGAGGAGGAGGATGGAGAGGAAGAGAGAGGTAGAGGTGGGCCTGGTGAAGGTGAAAGAGGAGGATGGAGAGGAAGAGAGAGGTAGAGGTGGGCCTGGTGACGGTGAAAGAGGAGGAGGACAGAGAGAATGACAGAGAAAGATACTGCACCATCATTTACATTCTTACATGTTAATTAATACAGATGATTTACTATCCAACTGACCATGATATCTCCTCATCCTATAGCCAAGTAATGATAACACTTTCTCTTTCAGTCTACCATGACAGTGATGCTCTGACAGAGTTCTGTCTGTCTAAACTAGCTGGACTGTGTGTGTTATTATCTGAGTCTTGGTAGAGACAGATGTTATCATGTTTTCACCCCCGCTGGTTTCCATACACCCCCTAAACCTCTTACACTCCTACCAGTACAGTTTATAATCCTGGAGCTCCACACGCACACACACACACACGCATACACACACACACACACGCACACGCACACACACACACACAGTGGTGAGACAAACACACATTGTTGGTCCAACACCAGGGTAAAGATGAGGGATGTGTGTATCTGCTCTGGGCTCCCCCTGTGGTGGCTGTACAATAGAGCTCCAGAGAGATGTTGAATGGTCCCTGTACTGACCCATTCTGGACACCTCTCCTTCCCTCTCTCTTTATCGCTTTTCCTCTCTCCCCCTCCCTCCCTCCCTCCCTCCCTCCCTCCCTCCATCCCTCTCTCTCTCAGTGACAGCAGAGTGATTGATGTTACTCAGAAGGCCCCAGCCTCCCCATCCTCCTCCCTGGGGTCCCACTATCAGATTGTGTCTGTCTGATTTTGTTTTTATTTCTGTGTATGTGTTTTTATACCGTATTAAAATATATATAGTTAAATCGATACAATTTCATGAATAACTGAGTTATTATTAATCAAATACAGCAGTGTGTTGCTGAAATTCCATGAAAGGATCATTTCTTTATTTGCTGTTGTATGTCACTGTATTGGTTCCGAATCATTATGTTATTATATAACATCTGTGATATTGTGTCACCCAAATAAGGGCGTCTTACCCCAGCATCCTCAGATTAGCCAGAAGGGAGTGTCGCTGGGTCTGGTTGTCATGGTAACCAAGGCTTAGACCTCCTCAAAGGCAGGAAGGACCCCCTTATCCCTGAACATGACACACACACACACACACACACACACAGGGGAGAGGAGGGATAGTGGTAGTAGGGCCACGGCCAAATCCAGTCTGCCCAGACGACCTCTGACCCATAGACACCCTCACGCAGTCTGTCACTGTCTCTGGACAACCATGACTGCTGGGGTCACCACCTTTTACCACACATACACATACACACACGCAAACTTGAGAGCTCTCCATCGATAGTTTTTGAATTAGTGAACAATGAGAGAGAGAGGAGAGAGAATGAAAGAAAGGGAGAGAGAAAGAGAGCGAGAGAAAGAGAAAGAGGGAATGAAAGAAAGGGGGGGGGGGGGGGGGGGGGGGCACAGTTCCCTCTTCTTGGCCTTGGATGGATGCTACCTGCATCTGTAAGTGGAATTGATTGTCAATACTGCCCCCATGTGGCTGAATCATGCTACTTCAGAGAAACCCATATTTCCGCTGTAGTAGTGAACTCAAACTGGTTGGTCAGCGGTAGTGCTGCACTTACTCAATTTTTCCTCTGTTGGAGGAGTGGGGCTGAGTGGTGAGAGAGGTTGTGGTTTGTGGGGATGTTGTGATGGCTCACATCTCCCACCTCATGTGACAGCGAGACCTATAACAGAGACACAATCTGAGTAGGTAGAACCGACAAATATAATGAAAACTGTTGAGCATGTAGATGACATATTTGGTAACACTTGACTTAAAGTCTACAGCAGGTATAATGCTATATCACTTGTTATAAGCATGTATGAGCCTTTGTAATGTATTATTGTATGGTATATGATGTGTTACGTCTCTAACTGGCCAGGTAGTGCACTGCAAAACATTTAGATCTCACCTATATATCTCTTAGAATGCATTGACTTGACGTCTTACCAAGGTAAATTATCTTAGGGCACAGGCAGATAATTTTGCTGATTTTAACCTAAAAAAGGCTTGATCCAAGTGGGGTAAGATACATTATCTTATTTCAAGATATTTGATCTTAATAAGACATCTTACCAAGACAAATTATCTTAGTGTACTGACATTTTGCTTACTTTAACCTACAAAAGGCTTGACACAATTCAGACTCAGAATATCTTAAAACAAGACAAATGATCTTGATGCATTTCCTGGGTAAGCAGAATCAACTTGAAACAAGTAAATGCCTTTTCTGGGTGAGCGAGATCAACTCAAAACAAGTAATTTTCACTTAATTATCTCAATACAATACAAAAAATCTAGGTAGAATTGAAATGTTTTGCAGTGTGACTGCGGTAGTGTCAGCCGTAGGGTTGTTTTTCTCTGAGCTGTGAGTGACAGTTTCCAGCTACACTGTTACTTTCCACTTATGTCTTCCCCCTCTTCTTTCTCCTCCTCTATTTCTTAGATCTCATTCTCTCCCACTCTTTAACCTCACGTGTCCCCCTTTCTCTTTCTTTCTGACCCCACTTCCTACTCTTTTTTTGTTTACTTCCTCTTCTCTCTCTCTCTCTCTCTCTCTCTCTCTTTCTGTCAGGATGTGGGGAGGGGGTGGGGCATGTGTGGGGGCGTGGACAACAATGATTTTTATCACTCCTCTGTTGGGTCGAGTGAGTGAGTGAGTGAGTGAGTGAGAGAGAGAGAGAGAGAGAGAGAGAGAGAGAGAGAGAGAGTGTGAGAAAGAAAGAAGAGGCCACACACACTCAGACATTTGACCAGGACAGTAGCTCTAGCAGTGATGGACTTCTGCAGTATGTGGTTGCCAGGTGAGTGTCTGTGCCTCTCTCTGCCTTCATTAGCACAGCCCAATTAAGCTCGCCGTGTGTGTGTTTCTGTGTGTGTGTGTGTGCATCTGTCTGTCTGTGTGTGTGTGTGTGTGTCTGGGCTGAGCCAGTTGATTAGCACCGCTGGGTCTAACGAGCATGGCTAATTAGAGCACATCAAAAAGAGGGAGCTGGATGGAGGGAGGTGAGGAGAGGATGGATGGAGGAGAAGATGGAGGGAGGAGAGGATGGAGGTGTGGATGTCTGTCGTAGGCAGAGAGAAAGGTCAGACATGTCTCTCCAGGGTGGACAGGGATGCAGTGTGTGTGTGTGTGGGTGTGTTTTCTGTACAAGTATTTGCTATCTCTTATCCATCCCTTGTCATTACAACTGTTTAAACAGAGAACCTAAAGGTACACTTGAGTTATGTGTCCTACATAACAGCATTAGAAGTGGTCTTCAGCTACATATAGATGGTAATGTTTTAATGTCAAATGACGACGTGATAGAAATAGTTTCTCAAAAATACATTCACAGGAAGTGATTCATCAATAACAGAAACATCTATCAACCAATGTCAATAGTATTACTGAATGTCATGAATAACCAGGTGTAGATAACATCACAGAGAACCATTTACGGTATGTGCGTGCATATTCATTTGATGGGAATGATTCATGTGATGAAGCATCTTGTGTCACTTCTCACATCGACGTGGACATTGATGAATAGAGCTTTTTAAAATCAACCCCCCTGTACATTCCTGTACCATGGTGACGGGATGACACATCATATTATGGGGTCCATGTAGTAAAGAACGAGGTTACTCAGGTGAACTACAGTGTCTCATCTAGGCTTTGTATTACACACAGACAACACAGTTCATTGTCAGTATTCATTGTGAATATGCCAGTCATAATGTTAGGGTTTCAGTGTGCCGTTTGTTAACTGCACAGGATTATCACACCTGCCAGAGTGTCCAATGACTGTACAGTGTTTTCATTGAATGATTACATAGCAATAGTGAAATATGAATGGAAAGTTTAAAAGTTTCATCAGGAGACTTCATTTCCCAGACCCCCCCTTGGCGCCAGAGTGATCTCCTTAAGCAGGAAATTAAGGTTCAGTTGATGTCAGTTTCACCCAGAATACCCCTGGGAGAACACACCATAGAAACAGAACACATAGAACATGTCATGAAAAGGCATATCATGCTGTGCACTATGCAACCGTATACAGCAGTATACTTTACAGTTTGAGAGACTATCCTATCTTGACATCCATTTCTATTGCACATACATACATCTATTGGTTGAGTGGTGGTAAGGCTTCTGAGAATAGCTTCTCTGCTTCCAACTGCAGCAAGAGGAGAGACTATAAAGGCTGACACGTATCAGTAGTAATGTGTTTTACAGTAGGGCAATTAATATGGCGGTTTGACGTAATCAGAGAGAATGTTGCCAGTGGTGCGATAGTACCATAATATGGGCCTACTGAGCCGTTCCTTATGTATCAGAGTGAAGGTAACCATGTATCAGATGGATCTAAACCACCACCAGAAAGCTTCAGCTACTACAGTTTTGCCACTGTCACACGATAGGTGCACATGTTAGTATTATTACAGCAACTATAGTATGACGTGTGTGTGTGTGTGTGTGTGTGTGTGTGTGTGTGTGTGTGTGTGTGTGTGTGTGTGTGTGTGTGTGTGTGTGTGTGTGTGTGTGTGTGTGTGTGTGTGTGTGTGTGTGTGTGTGTGTGTGTGAGTGCGTGCGTGCGTGCGTGTGTGTGCGCGTGTGTCTGTGCGCGTGTGTGTGCAAGTAGGGCGGCAGGTAGCCTAGCAGTTAAGAGCGTTGGGCCAGTAACTGAAAGGTTGCTGGTTCGAATCCACGAGCCGACTAGGTGAAAAATCTGCCCTTGAGCAAGGCACTTAACCCTAATTGCTCCTGTAAGTCGCTCTGGATAAGAGCGTCTGCTAAATGACTCAAATGTAAGTTTGTATGTCCCAATGTGTTGTGCGACAGTGCGTGTCAGTGTGTATGAGAAAGCAGTAGAGTAATATTAATAGTTACACTGACAGTAAGTGTTGGGTTTAGCACTCTGTGTTCAAGCTGGTGTGAGCTAGGGGAAGTAGAGGGGGGGGAAGTGAGAGAGACATACATCACACCATGATGCACTAGCTGTTCTCCAGGCTACTGTATATACACTACTAACCTCATATACTACCCTCACTACATACAGTGCCTTGCAAAAGTATTCATCCCCCTTGGCGTTTTTCCTATTTTGTTGCATTACAACCTGTAATCTAAATGGATTTTTATTTGGAGTTCATGTAATGGACATACACAAAATATTCCAAATTGGTGAAGTGAAATGAAAAAAATAACTTATTTCAAAAAATTCTACAAAATTAATAACGGAAAAGTGGTGCGTGTATTATGTTATGAAGGGGGGTGAATAGTTATGCACACTCAAGTTTTATGTTTTTTTGTCTTATTTCTTGTTTGTTTCACAATACAAAATATTTTGTATCTTCAAAGTGGTAAGAATGTTGTGTAAATCAAATGATACAAACCCCTAAAAAATCCATTTTAATTCCAGGTTGTAAGGCAACAAAATAGGAAAAATGCCAAGGGGGGTGAATTCTTTCGCAAGCCACTGTACCACTAACACTGTCTTCCCACACTACATACCACTAACACTGTCTTCCCTCACTACATATCACTAACACTGTCTTCCTTCACTACATACCACTAACACTGTCTTCCCACACTACATACCACTAACACTGTCTTCCCACACTACATACCACTAACACTGTCTTCCCTCACTACATATCACTAACACTGTCTTCCCACACTACATATCACTAACACGGTCTTCCCACACTACATACCACTAACACTGTCTTCCCACACTACATACCACTAACACTGTCTTCCCACACTACATACCACTAACACTGTCTTCCCACACTACATACCACTAACACTGTCTTCCCTCACTACATATCACTAACACTGTCTTCCCACACTACATACCACTAACACTGTCTTCCCACACTACATACCACTAACACTGTCTTCCCACACTACATACCACTAACACTGTCTTCCCTCACTACATATCACTAACACTGTCTTCCCACACTACGTTTTTTATTATTTTTATTTCACCTTTATTTAACCAGGTAAGCCAGTTGAGAACAAGTTCTCATTTACAACTGCGACCTGGCCAAGATAAAGCAAAGCAGTGCGATAAAAACAACAACACAGAGTTACATATGGGGTAAAACAAAACATAAAGTCAAAAAATACAACAGAAAATATATATACAGTGTGTGCAAATGTAGCAAGTTATGGAGGTAAGGCAATAAATAGGCTATAGTGCAAAATAATTACAATTAGTATTAACACTGGAATGATAGATGTGCAAGAGATTATGTGCAAATAGAGATACTGGGGTGCAGATGAGCAAAATAAATAACAATATAGGGATGAGGTAGTTGGGTGGGCTAATTTCAGATGGGCTGTGTACAGGTGCAGTGATCGGTAAGGTGCTCTGACAACTGATGCTTAAAGTTAGTGAGGGAGATAAGAGTCTCCAGCTTCAGAGATTTTTGCAATTCGTTCCAGTCATTGGCAGCAGAGAACTGGAAGGAATGGCGGCCAAAGGAGGTGTTGGCTTTGGGGATGACCAGTGAGATATACCTGCTGGAGCGCATACTACGGGTGTGTGTTGCTATGGTGACCAATGAGCTAAGATAAGGCGGGGATTTGCCTAGCAGTGATTTATAGATGGCCTGGAGCCAGTGGGTTTGACGACGAACATGTAATGAGGACCAGCCAACAAGAGCGTACAGGTCACAGTGGTGGGTAGTGTATGGGGCTTTGGAGACAAAACGGATGGCACTGTGATAGACTACATCCAATTTGCTGAGTAGAGTGTTGGAGGCTATTTTGTAAATGACATCGCCGAAGTCAAGGATCGGTAGGATAGTCAGTTTAACGAGGGCATGTTTGGCAGCATGAGTGAAGGAGGCTTTGTTGCGAAATAGGAAGCCGATTCTGGATTTAACTTTGGATTGGAGATTCTTAATGTGAGTCTGGAAGGAGAGTTTACAGTCTAACCAGACACCTAGGTATTTGTAGTTGTCCACATACTCTAGGTCAGACCCGTCGAGAGTAGTGATTCTAGTCGGGTGGGCGGGTGCCAGCAGCGTTCGATTGAAGAGCATGCATTTAGTTTTACTAGTGTTTAAGAGCAGTTGGAGGCTACTGAAGGAGTGTTGTATGGCATTGAAGCTCGTTTGGAGGTTTGTTAACACAGTGTCCAATGAAGGGCCAGATGTATACAAAATGGTGTCGTCTGCGTAGAGGTGGATCTGAGAGTCACCAGCAGCAAGAGCGACATCATTGATATACACAGAGAAAAGAGTCGGCCCAAGAATTGAACCCTGTGGCACTCCCATAGAGACTGCCATAGGTCCAGACAACAGGCCCTCCGATTTGACACATTGAACTCTATCTGAGAAGTAGTTGGTGAACCAGGCGAGGCAGTCATTTGAGAAACCAAGGCTATTTAGTCTGCCAATAAGAATGCGGTGGTTGACAGAGTCGAAAGCCTTGGCCAGGTCGATGAAGACGGCTGCACAGTACTATCTATTATCGATCGCGGTTATAATATCGTTTAGGACCTTGAGCGTGGCTGAAGTGCACCCATGACCAGCTCGGAAACCGGATTGCATAGCGGAGAAGGTACGGTGGGATTCAAAATGGTGTAATCACTAACACGGTCTTCCCACACTACATATCACTAGCACTGTCTTCCCACACTACATATCACTAACACTGTCTTCCCACACTACATATCACTAACACTGTCTTCCCACACTACATATCACTAACACTGTCTTCCCTCACTACATACCACTAACACTGTCTTCCCTCACTACATATCACTAACACTGTCTTCATACACTACCTATCACAAACACTGTCTTACTACATATTACTAACACTGTCTTCCCACATTACACTACATATCACTAACAATGTCTTCCCATATTACACTACATATCACTATCTTCCCACATTACACTACATATCACTATCACTGTCTTCCCACATTACACTACATATCACTAACACTGTCTTCCCACATTATACTATATACTGTATCACTAACACTGTCTTCCCACATTACACTACATATCACTAACACTGTCTTCCCACATTACACGATATACTCTATCACTAACACTGTCTTCCACATTACACTACATATCACTAACACTGTCTTCCCACATTACACTATATACTGTATCACTAACACCGTCTTCCCACATTACATTACATATCACTGTCTTCCCACATTACACTACATATCACTAACACTGTCTTCCCACATTACACTACATATCACTAACACTGTCTTCCCACATTACACTATATACTGTATCACTAACACTGTCTTCCCACATTACACTACATATCACTAACACTGTCTTCCCACATTACACTACATATCACTAACACTGTCTTCCCACATTACACTATATACTGTATCACTAACACTGTCTTCCCACATTACACTACATATCACTAACACTGTCTTCCCACATTACACTACATATCACTAACACTGTCTTCCCACATTACACTATATACTGTATCACTAACACTGTCTTCCCACATTACACTACATATCACTAACACTGTCTTCCCACATTACACTATATACTGTATCACTAACACCGTCTTCCCACATTACAGTACATATCACTGTCTTCCCACATTACACTACATATCACTAACACTGTCTTCCCACATTACACTATATACTGTATCACTAACACTGTCTTCCCACATTACACTACATATCACTATCACTGTCTTCCCACATTACACTATATACTGTATCACTAACACTGTCTTCCCACATTGCACTACATATCACTAACACTGTCTTCCCACATTACACTATATACTGTATCACTAACACTGTCTTCCCACATTACATTACATATCACTAACACTGTCTTCCCACATTACAGTACATATCACTGTCTTCCCACATTACACTACATATCACTAACACTGTCTTCCCACATTACGCTATATACTGTATCACTAACACTGTCTTCCCACATTACACTACATATCACTAACACTGTCTTCCCACATTACACTATATACTGTATCACTAACACCGTCTTCCCACATTACACTACATATCACTAACACTGTCTTCCCACATTACACTATATACTGTATCACTAACACCTTCTTCCCACATTACACTACATATCACTAACACTGTCTTCCCACATTACACTACATATCACTAACACTGTCTTCCCACACTACACTACATAATGTATCACTAACACGGTCATCTCACAAACAGACCTGAAACTCTTTGAGGTGTGCTCGATTTAGCTTGTAGTTTGCACTTTTGTGACTACTCCATTGGTTCCGTTGTGGATTCATTGAATTGCTTCCTCATATCTGAGTTGTTCGGACTAAATTAAGATGTGGAGAAAGTCCATCTATTTTAGAGGGATCCTTCCTGTGGTTAGATCTGAAGTGCTGATGGGCATGTCATTGGTGAGGGACAGCCAATGGACATTTCTGCCTGACCACTGCTTCCCCTAGCAGACCCTGTGTCTGCAGAAAAAAAAACTCCTGACTGTCACAAGTACTGTACTGCCCCTGCCTTCCTCTGTTCTGTGTTAACCAGCCTGGATATAGCTAGTTCAGACATCTGGGCCTCAATGGCCTTACCACTATTGGTTTTCATTGGTTTGGTTTAACTGATTCAGATCTGTGTTTCCAGGCAACTGGACTCTCTGGCCAATCAACAACATTAGTCAATCATTTAACTACTGGGGAGAAAGAAAACCCAGCAGCTCTACAGACATTGAGGCCTGGTATTGAATAGCCCTGTTGCTAAATAACCTCATCCATAGTAATTGTTGGTAAATGTGTTCAGTGTCTCACTACTGCCCCCTATTGGTTGGTAAGTGGTCCTCATCAGAGTATGTGAGCTGAGCGGTCGGAAATCCTGCTCATAGCTCATGGAGCAGCGCTCCACTCTGGCCGTCAGTGTCCTTTCCAACCGCTCTGCTAAAAAAAACGCTTCTCGCTCACAGGAAAAAAAAACTGCTGCTCCAAATTCGCTCCATTCATTAAAATCCCAATTTAACCAACACCCATCTATTTTTGTGACTACCTGGACCTACCAAACCAAATGATTTGAATGAAAATTATATTAATAAACATGAAAAGGTGAATGTGAGAAGCGCTCTTAATTTTAAATTGGCTACATGTCATATTAAACAGCATATAAACACTCTAGATAGGTCAGGAGCCAGACAGGGAGCCTAAGAAGGAATGGAAATTAATTATTTAGGCTATATTACTTACATTATTTCAAGGCTATAGCCTACAAAGAAATACATTGTGAAGCATTTGCGAGAGCGACACTAGGCTGGTAGGGAGTTAGTGACATCAAGCGCACAACATTTAAACAACATTTTGCTGTATTAAATCGTTATAGTCTATAAACTGCGCATTTAGGCTGTGACTAACCTACACATTCAATGGAAAATGCCTTATTAGGCTCAGTCTACAGTGCCTTTGAATTCATTTTTAGAAACACCAGTTTGGCCAGAGTCTGTGGCTTCAGGCTCATGCGATGGTGCCTGGAGAGCAGGCCAGCAGCGGAGAATATCCTCTCAGCGCTTGCAGAGCCACTTGGGATGCTGAACACCCTTTTGGCCAACCCAGGCTGGGTAGGGATGCAGAGTTTATTTTCTATAGTTAGGCCTAAAGGTTTTTAGGCAAAATAACCCAATCAAAACGGAAAGCTCCTTAAAAGTTGAAATATGCCAATGATGGCCTATTGTATAGATAATATAACAAAAATAAAGGAAACTTTTAAGAGATCTGATTTTTTGTTTATAAATACTTTGCTACAATGACACACTTAATTAGCTACCCACCTTGTTCCTTTCTTTTAGCATGTGCATGTATTAAGTAAACCAACATGCTTTCAGGATATGTGTCTTTTCAGATTCCACAATGATTCGTTAGTTGTGGATATTATATCACTACACTCCCTCTCTTGCTCTTGGTCCTTATCTTTGTAAGTCACCTTGATTTTGCACCTGTGTGTTTTATCAATTTCTTTATGAGCATATTTAGCGAACTCCATGACAGTAGCTAAAGCAAGGGGCTATAGCAGCAGATAAGTAGCCTACAAATGCATGCTGGGACGGCATGCCCTGAGCTCCTGAAGTGAGCGCTACTGGAGCGAAATTGGAGCGGGTGAGAAGGCCGACGCTCCAGCCTTTGGGAATCTTGCTCCGTGCTCCAGTCAAATTGGGCACGCTCAGCTCCAGCGCCGCTCTGCTCACATACTCTGGCCCTGCTCCATAGCCCAGACGCCAGTACAAGGGAAGTATCTTTAGTGCTATGCCATTACTCATATAGATAATAACCTGTTACGGACATATTAGCCTACTTAGTCTGTTGGTTGTATTGTGTTATTGTGTATTGTCGTTTCACAGTTTAGTTTTGTTATGACAACTGGGTTTTGTCATCTTTGAGAATAAAATTAATGAGCATTTATCTTACTCTAAGCACTCATCCTTTATATTGGAACCGAGAGAGGGGGGGGGGGGGGGGTGATAGAGAGAACTGGGAGGAAGGGGGAGAGAGAGAGAGGAATGTTTTTAATAATGCAGGTGGCAGATGTAATTAGTTGGTCGTTGGGTGGATTTGCATGTTTTCATAAAAGGGAAGTTGGTGTGAGGGAGGGAGGGAGGGAGTGTCAGCAAACATGACTGTCTGTCTGTAGATATTGTGGCTTCTCACAAAATAAGCGGTAGTTAATACAGTAACTGCCAAATAAAACATCTGTTATGGTAACTTTGTTTAAAAATAACTAACTTAACATAATTCACTTCAATATCAGATTTTATTTACAGTGAATTGTCTACCCCTCACCCCCCTCTCTCTCTCACTCTCTCTCTCTATATCTTTCTACCCACCCCAACCCACTCTCCTATTCCACCCCCTGTTCCTCCTCTCTTTTTCCCTCCATCTCCCCCTCCCCCTCACTCCCCTCGACTCTCAGTCCCAGCCCTGACTGACTGTCTGTACAGTAGAGAGGAGAGGAAGTGTTGTGGTGTAGTATAGTGTGGTGTGGTGTAATGTAGTGATGACTCTACAGTGAGTAACATCAGTATAGAGGTGTCTAGTAAGGCTCTGTTCCCACTCAAACCTCTATAGGGCCTATTGTTAGACCAAACAAACACCTCTGTACATATAGGAAATAATGAATGCAGGCTTCACAGCAAAAAATATCACTGTATATACAAAAGCCAATACTGCGGTGTGACATCATATTTCAGCGCCTGTAACATC